ATTATTATTATTATTATTATTATTATTATTATTATTATTATTATCCCTTTCGTATGGTGGCATGTGAATTATTCAACCCTAACCCAACTGATAAAGAAGTATATTGTCATCATATGCAAGGAAAACAATGTCTAAGCACAAATACATTCTCAATTCAATTGGCACTTCTTTAAAGGAATCCTATTTGAAAGGTCTAGAAATCTACCAAAGTAACCAAAAAGCAGGTAATGAATGAAAATCTTTCCCTTCAATTTACATCTCAGCAGAAGCATATGCTACATTGTACAAAATACAACAGCTAAATCAATCAATCCAACATCCAATTCTAACATACAATTCCCCAGATAATTCTGCCAAAACACAATGTAGAAAAAAGGAAATCCAATCCCGTCTACCTCCCGAGCCGAAAGCAAAATCTGCAAAAATTGTCCAGTCGTATTATCAAAATTCTTGCGGGGAAAGAGCACGTTTTTTTCCCCTTTTCCCTAAGCTTGACCAGTTTTCAACCCTTTTGAAGCCAAATTCTCCTCATAATTCAAAGTCTTGGCCGCATTCAGAAGCATATCTACCCCACCCGACTTGTTAAGAGCCTCTTTCCCCTTCAGCTTCCTATCGAGCCCCCTCTTTCTCACCTTAATCCCGTACGTCTTCTTTGCTTTCCATATACGAACCATCCCACCTTCGCAGTTTCTGCAGAACCACTTCCCCTCGGGCACGGAATCCAGAGGCGGGACCATACAGTAAATGTGATACGCGTGATCACACCCATCACACAAGACAATCTTGTCATCATCTCGGTCAGTCAAGCAGGCCCGACACAGACAAGACGGGCAGTACCAACACAACCCGTAAGATACCAACTGCTGGCTTGTCAGGCACTTCACGTGGTAAAATGTGTTGGGACATAACGCATGCCCGCATATTTTGTAGTCCTCATCATTTCTAATCTCGTTCATGCAAACCTTGCATTCAGTGTATCTTCTTTGACTGCCGCTGATAAGAAAAAATCCGTTTGAGCTCTCAGCTAATTCCTCCGTGGTCCCACCATTCACAATATTGACTTTGTTGGTGTCGATATTCGATTGCGATGTTTTCAGCCTCTTGCAGGCAACACAGTTTTCATGGGAGGACTCGTTTTCTTTGGACGTGCAATCTGCACAATACCAGCTTCTCGTGGGGATTTCTTTGACCGGGGGCTCAATGCACGAGATGTGATACATGCCCTCACACGAGTCACAAATCAAGACGTTTGTGCCATCTGCCTCTTGTCGACACCGTCTGCAGGTGTGGGCCCCTTCTGGGGAGTCTGCATCCATCAGCTCGGTTTTGGTGGTCATGATGGGTTCTTGTGAGGGGAACTGTTAGCATCACAAAAAAGAGAATCAGACTTCAAGGTCTTGATATATATAAATGAGTGTATGAACCTAACGTTTAATCTATAGTTCACAGTGCTTCATTCAGATGTATTGGATATCTAGTAAGCAGAAAGCAAAATTCCATTGGGAGTTTTGAGGCCTTTCTATCAAAAGAACTGAAATACATAAATAAAGGTGGAACAGAAACTTTTTATCTACTTGTGTAACTAAAACTGATGTATGTATTATAGATGAGAACTAGAGATAACACAGTAACAAAGACGGTATGAAGATAACATAATCTCCAAGAAAACAACTGTGAATAACAGTACTGTAAACTAAGGACATTCCAACACTTGGACTATATACTGCCAGGTGAGATACTTACGGAAGATAAAATGGACAAAATGTTATTTGAAGCATCACACTTCGGAGTTTGTACAATTGTAACATGACGAAAAAACAAAGAAATAGAAACATTAGACAAATTTCTGTGAAAGCTCATTTGCAAATTTTAACATTCCTTTTCACTAAATTCACAATATTAAGGGAGGATTAGTGACCTTGTAATATTATTCAACACAAAACTATACAGGAGAACCAAGGCAAAGCCAAGCATCTGCAAGCTAACACACATCTACCTTTTCATGGAAAGAAGACAATGTTTTGTCTGACAGGCACTTTGAGAGAGCAGTTATATCAGAGCCAACCTTCTGAAGTTTAGTCCATATCTACACAGGAAATCAAGGATAGAGGACTTAAGCATATATACGTCATGCAAAGATAAAGAAAATGGTCCTCAGTTTCATAATAAAACACAGACATGGAACACAAACTGCCAGCCTGCGCACACTTCATACATAAAACTTCTAATGCTGCAAGATGATCATTATTAAACAATGATTAGATGAAACTGCCGCAAATACCTCCTGGATATCCGAATGAAATAGCATTGGTGAACGTTCATAAGCATTCTCCTCCATCCTTGAGTTTATTTGGCTCAAATTAAAGACTTTATCAGTCTTCAATCCTTGAAAATTTTCGAGGAGTAAGCTGCATAACTGCGCAAACTTTTCCGACACTATAATGTCAGAAAAGCTTCGCGCACAGAGCTCTGTGAAAGTGCAATCCATGGATTCATCAGCAGATCCATTAGATTTCATACCCACATAGCCCCCAACTGCCTTCTGGAGACCGTGTAAAGTCCCAGGCTGTGAGTTGCAGTTGCTACAACCATCATTATAATGTACGGATTCCTGTACAAAATGCTAATGATAATTTAGATAAATCAATTCTTGGTTTTCTGGAATCTCAAAAGACAAACCAATTCCTGTCTGAATGGATGCAATCAAATTGCTGCTAATCATATTAAGCAAAAACACGAAAAACAAAAACCAAAAAAAAAAAGAAAAGAAAAATGACTGATAAATAATAAAAATGTACGACCAGTCTCCCCAAGATGGCAACATACCTCAACTCTAGTTGTGCAGCCACTGCCTGGATGGGAGGCAAGAACCCCATGAATGCATTTTCGCAAACCATCTTCGGTATTGAGCGACTGAGATATTTGTTCTAAAATTACATTTCTTCGGTGTATGAGCAAACAGTCATCGGTCAAGACTAATGGAGGAACCTTCAGGTAGAACAGTTCAGAAATCACAAACTGCGACGTCAGAGATGAATATTTTATAAATACTGAATGAACAAATCCCCAGTTAAGTCAGCCAACCTCATCCTTATGCTAAAATATTCAGATGCTTTTTGGCGCTACAGGTTTTCTAAGACTCCTACTTCTAAAACATCCCAACTAACAAATATCTACATATAAGCAGTTCATATATTCAAATTATGCAGCATGATTCACATCTAAAAAGAGAAAATAAGAATTAAAATAGAGAAACAAAAAAAAAAAAAAAAAAAAAANNNAGACTGTAAGTCAAAGAACTCCCCAGAATCTAAAGTATTTTATCCATTTTACTAAACCAAAGGGAGTCCCGTGTAGTTTGCTGGACAAACTGAGTTGTCATCTGCTATTACGAGTACTTAGGAGATCGTCAACTGAAGGGCAAGGTAATTCAACTTTTATTGATTATTGAATGCGGCTCTAAGGACTTCAAACAGGAAACTCTAACAGATACGTCTTGGAACATCTATTGGATCAGATTTTTCCTGTAAAGTGAAAAACAAATCACTGCAGGCCCAAATTCAAAGAGCCTTCTCACTTAATTGTCGCCAGCGAGTCCTACTTAATGATTATAAAGGGAAACTAAAATAACAAAATCAGAACCACAGGTACCTTCACAATTCAACCTCATATACAAGAACCACAACAAGTACCTTCAGAATTCAACCTCATATGAAAGCAAATAGAAGCACAACAAAGATGACAATTGACAAGCTGGCGAAACTTCAATGTACCTTCTCACACAATTGGCCCACCGAATCTTGAGTTCCTTTCCTACTCTCTTCCACCTTGACACTCTTCCGCCTCTTGTACGTAAGCAAACCCTCACACCCAGATTCAGTTGAGCAAGTTTCTTTTCTCGCTGCACTACCATTTGCCTTCACTGCCTTGACATTCGGCCCCATTGCTAGACCTCGAGAACCCATTTCTCTACCACACGTATTACTCCCTTTTCGCGTGCCCGCCATGCCTAATGTCAAATTACTAAAACCAAAGAACCAGCACTAGAGCCACAGCCAATCATCAAAACCTTGACCGACCCGGAAAAAATCACCAACTACCCTGTCAATTTCACACAATCATGCACAAGAAGACGAAATAACAATCCAAGTTAGAATCAAAACATCCATAGACGGCAAACCCACCCGAGAAAAGGCAGGCTCAGTAATCAGTATACATATTAACTTCAAGATTACTCAAGAAATTGAACAATATACATACAAATGAAGCATATTCTCATGACATACCGGAGTTGAAGACCAAATACTGAAAGAGAATATCTGCCAAATTTTGGAACCCTAAGTGAGAGAAATTGTATGTTCGTTTGGAACGTGTTATCTCCGCGAGAGGGCTTTTTGTTGGTTTTGAAATCTGAGGGCCGTTTTTGTGTTCTGTGGCTGTGGGTAGAAAAAATGTAATAAAATAAACAATTTTATGCTTTATAAATTTTACTATTCGGACGAAAATACCAAGTCATAATTTCAGTGTTTTTAAAAAAATTCTCCATCTTTCTCTCTTGCCCCTCAAAAAAATTTCGAAAAAATAGAAAATTCTCACCACGGACGAGGCAAAGGATTCATGATTCCCCTAAAATATTTTTTTTTATTTGTAAATAATTTATTTTTTTATTTGTAAATAATTTTAAAAAAACAATTAAAGTTACAACGACGACACTAGCGCGGGCAGTATGCGACGTTCGGTCGCACGCTAGGCGGCCGACATTGGTGGTCGGCCACTTAGGGTGGTTGGCCACACCCTAATCGGCCACCCTCTATGGCCGGCCATGCTTCGCTGATCGATATTTTGTTTTAAATTGCAATTATGTTTAAATATTTAAAAATAGAATTGACTTAGTTTGTTTATTCAGTTTAATTTAGATAAAGTTTAGTTTAGTAGTTACTTAAAAATAATATGTAATACATATTAGTTAAATGTAATTATATTAAAATTATGATAGTATTTTTTAATAATACTATTTTTTTATGGGATAATGCATATAACTTTAGTATTTTTAGAAAACGAATTAGTTGTAATATGTGTAATAAAATAGTTTGTTGAGTAATTATTAGTTTTAAAATTTATAATTAGTATTCTAATATATGTTGAAAAAATTGTATATTTTTTTTAGTTAATTAGTTTGTATAATTATATAATCATAAAGTGGAATTACTTAATTATGTGTTTACAGATAATTACTATATTAATTTTTTAATAACTAATAGAAAAACAATTCTTGGAATATTTAATAATGTATTGTAGGAAATAGTAATAATTAAAAATATTAATTATGATTAGTTAATGTAAATATTATTAATAAATAGTTAATTGTAATTATTTTATAATAATTAATAAAATGTATGAATTTAAAAAAATTGTTTACTAATTATTGTTTAAATTATTGATTTAGACTGGTGGTAGACCTATGCGGCCGACCACCGATGCAGAGGTTGTCGAGTATTTTGTTTATAGACACCGACACACAAAAGGTCGGTATGTAGATACTTCCGCTCGTCAGGAGAGAGACGAGATGATGTGTCAGATTCGCATGAGACAAACTACTAACGCTGACCAAGCTGGCAATTCAAGATGCCTCGTTCCAGTACAAATCGGTCAGCAATCCCGCTTCCAGCAGCGGGATGATTATGATGAGTCGATAGTCGAGAGGTTGTAGTTCTCAGATGATTATGAGGACTTTGACTTTACATATGAACAAGACATTCTTCCTCCTTCCCCCACGACAGGCTCTTGCACGACCTGCTTCTCCACGTGTTGGGGGTCGTTTTACAGGCACAGGATCTTCAAGTAAATAATTTACGTACTTATTGTTGTTTGCATTAAATATTTTTTTTATTTAATAATAGCATATCATTGATACAGTCAGTCACAATATGTCGTTTATGTATATGTTTTATTTTAATGCATGTACTAGCAAAGGATCTAGGGCACGTAGTCTCTCGTATGTGGACTAGAGAGCTTAGAGGCATTATGAAATTCCAAAATAGCTAGGGACCGCACGACAAGTTGAGGAGTTGGCTTTCTGGTATGGCTCCCGCTCCACGCGATCTGGTAGTTCGAACCAAGCTGTCACGTCTGGTGGACTCCATGCATACTCACTTGGACACTTCACTTATTTCAGCATTCGTGGACCGCTGGCAGCTGGATACTAACTCGTTTCACATGCCTTTTGATGAAATGAGTATCATGTTGCACGACGTTCTTGCCATTTTGGGGTGTCCTGTTGAGAAAGAGATAGTTACACAGGACCTTGACATTAGCTCCTGCCAGTCGTACTGCATGGAGATACTGCAGCTGATGAAGAATGAGCTAATGCAATCGTTCTGGCATCATGGTTCAGTGACAGTTACCGCAATTTTGGAAGCATTTTAGGGGAGAACGCTAGCCCGGTTGCCTGAGGATGAAGCTACTGCATGGGTGTGGGTCATTCTAGTTACCACCTTGTTTGTAGACAAGAGTAGTAGTAGGGTAGGTCCCAAGCTCCTGCATGAGATGATCGATGACTTGAGTATAGTTGGGACTTACACCTGGAGCTCGGGTGCACTGGCTTACCTCTACAGACAGTTATGTATTGCCAGCAGAGGGGACACACATAGACTGTCTGACTGTTTGACTCTTTTGCATTCATATATGAGTACTTCCCATGCTTCCGACCCCAGCGAGAGCGTCTGGCCACTAGTCCTGATTGTGTCGCTCGATCTCGCTCGTGGAGCGTAGGGGTGACGGAGAGGACAAAACATTGTCTGACCTTTCTCCGTCAATGCCTTGACACTCTCACTACCTTTGATGTACGTTAATTTATTTTATTTAAATTTAGTTACAAGTTATTTCAAATAATAAATTTGTTTTAATAAATATTTATGCAATTGTGAGCAGGTGCAATGGTTGCCATACAGTCGCAACCCAGATACGATAGAGCCTAGGTCCCTTTATAGCGGATGCCTTAGGTATGATGATATTGTGGAATCGTACTTGCCTTTGTGATTTTTGCGTCAGTTGGGCTTCGTCCAGACTGTCCCTCCCCCTTTGATCCATCCAACTACAGTAGTACGTGCTTGGGAGTCTAGGTTCTACAAGGTTGCGCATGCTAATACTACTGCAGTAGCTTACTGGCACCAATTCCTGATGGTGACGTGTGCCAACTCGACTATGTTCACCCCCACCACACATGATCCAGGAGAGGCCCATCAACAGTACACGGAGTGATACACTCGATTTTCTCATCCTATTGTCTGGGTGATTAACAAGGAGCGTCGAAATGAGAGGTTCGATCTAGGAGAATGGGTCTATTTAAAATTACTACCACACGGTCAACAAAACATTTCTCAATAAGCCTTGTTCAAACTAGAAATCTATTTTTATGGGACATATCGAGTCAATGAAATAGTGGGTGAGGTAGCATACAAGCTATAATTGCTTGCAAGACATTCGCATGCAATTTTCCAGTCTTATCTTTGGGGGCAAGGATTTTCCTGAGGAGGACGAGAATGATGCAAATGAAGGTCGACACCTCAAGAACACATAGAACCAAGCACGACGTAAATGAATCAAAGAGGCGCATGTAACAGGCTGCGACAGGCCAATCGCGATAGGTCCAACCCCGTCATGACCGAGCAACATGCCCATGACCGAGCAACAGGCTGGGGCGATGTAGCCACTACTAGGCCTCGTGCAGCGCCAAGCCAAGCAACCATCTTGCGAGAGTGCACAGACCTCACGCCACTAGGTGAGTCGCGAGCAAACAGAGGCTGAAGGTTTCCGGGACTTCGCGGTGCGATGCGTGTCGCGCCGGACACCACATCCTCCTCACGCCGCGAGAGCTGACACGAGCCAACAGATACTCAGGATTCCGGAGCTACATTAAGCGAACTGAATTTAAATAAAACAGTTGGAAATAGTGTGGGAGTAATTTCTTTCCACGTTTTTCAAATTATCTTTAGGACCACGTTTTGCACGTTTTCCTTTAAGGACGTTTCAGGCTTGTTCATTTGATCTTTATGCAATAAATTAGCCAACGCTCGTTTTCGAGCACAAATTCTCGTGTCGACCGACGACCATTTAGTGCGGGTTTACACATTTCTTACGTTCGATACATGGCGCAACACTATTCATTTCCCAACTTTGCGGAAAAATATTTTTACCCAATTTAGTGCAAATACAAAGTAGCACTGGCTTGGATAGCTCTTAATATATAGAAGATTCATGGCCATACTTAATTTAACTTTACACCAATTAAATTGGCTAGTCGCCTTCTTGAATTTCATTTTGTAGATATATATATAACTCTTGTAATTTCATGGTTGATTTAAGACCAATGATGTGCCTTATCCAACTTTATTTCTTGCGTACACAATTTTGCGTTTTGCTTCATTTAATTGTTCAATGTGAATTCTGGAGACTTCCTCATGCTTAGTGTCCAAGCATTTTACTCCTATTGGTCAACATATTTCTTTCAAGGTGTGTACTTTTAAGTCAAATAATGGGAGCTAGAACCATTGGGAAAAATAAAAAAACACCATGATAATAAAATACAAAAAAAAAAAATAAAATAAAAAATAATTATGGAGCTAGGTTGCTTTTCTACGAGTCATTATAAAATTGATGTATTGAGATATGTTTCAATGTGAACTTTATTTATTTATTTATTTTTTATTTTTATTTTTTTGGTACTCTTGACAAATTGTTGAAATATATATAATGAATTTGGTATTTGTTGTTAATAATTAATTTATGGATATTATTTAAAGTTAAATTTCATAGTTATAGAATTTATTATTAAATGATCATCGTAATTACATTTTAAAATATTAATATTAGTATTTATGATTTATTATTATGGAATTTCATATATTAATTTGAAAGCAATCGGCATTATTATTTTAATTTCTAATTTTTATTATTTAATAGAATA